CTTAACTTATGATTCAAATTTGACACGACCATGTTTAAGTTTGATTGCACAAATTTCTATTGGATTCTCGCAGATCAACCCAAACATTTGAACAAAAAGACTGCAAGTCTGAATCGTTTGAGATGCCATATTTTGTTGGGGAAATTGACTTAGATCAGACAAGATGGTTTGGCTTTCCGTCCACAAGTCTTCCAGGAGGAGCAGGCCTGTAGCGGTTGGGTCAGACTATTGACTACCCAAGCTCGCCAGTCTCACTTGCTGTGTACATCAACTTTGTTACCACCTTGCAGGCCACCAAGGTGAAGTGGAAACCAAAGCGGGAAAACTGGCAAGGCGGGACACTGAAAGTGTAAGACGTTGCAAAACTTGGAAGACATTGTTGTCTCAAGTTGGTCCATGTTGGCCCATACTGCCATGGTAGCCTTGCAGGCGCCACAAGAAAAATTAATTGAAAACCGCCACTCGCCCGACTCGCCTCACTCGCCCTACTTGCCCTTCGCTAGCAAATGAACTGAAATCCGCCACTCGCCCCACTTGCCTCACTTGCCCCACTCGCCCCACTTGCCTTGCAGAAAAAATTATTGATTTTGGCCACTCCACTTGCTCGCTTTCCCCACTCGCCCCGCTTGCTGGAGGATTGGGGGTAGGCAGGGCAAGCAGGGCGGCCGGGGCAAGTGGGGGCAAGTGGGGGCAAGTGGGGCAAGCGGGGGCAGTGGCGCAAGCGGGGTAAACGGGAAGAACCAACGATTTTGCGTCGGTTTGCAAGTAGGGCAAGTGGGGCAAGCGGGGCAAGGAGGAAGATTCACCTACTTCCCTGAGAAGTGGACCAAGTGGGACCAAGTGGGATGTCTCAATGCCGGTCCCGTCGGTCCTGGCGGACCTTGCCATGCCAGCTTGGGTCACTGACGACGAGGGCACCGAGGCTTTCGGCCCTTTGGCCGTTGGTCATGAGGTCGGCGGCTTAAAATGTAACCATGTTACCGCTGCGCAAGTTTTGGCACGTTTAAATGCATGTCTAAGAAAATGGGAGAAAATTTGCAAAGTGTGTGGGCATGTGAATTTGTTCAAGATTGAGAGCTTCTTGTGGCAGCTGTTGAGCTCAAAGCTTCCTGAGTCAGAACAGGGTTGAGACAGAGCTACAAAAACAGCGTTCATGAATTATATAATTTGTCCATGTCCTTTCCAAAGCAGTTATAACCTTCCGAAGCCAGGAAAATGGACCCCGAACAAAAAATTGGTCAAAGTTAGGGATTGTTTCCTCAGCTTTGCTTGAACAGATCAGAACGGGGGTGGACAGGATGGCAGAAGTCGCATGCATTGATGAGTTGAAGGCAAGACATAATGGCCTTGCCAAGGTTGTTTTAAACAACTGGCTTGCAATGTACAAGTGAATGAAGGCTTGTTTGGTAACTTCACTACAGCTGTAGCTGTAATTCTCCCCTTGATTTTCTTCTATTCTTCTTTTCTTGTCATCTTCGTTTCTTCCTTCATTTCTTTTCCTCGTTTTTTCTTTTCTTTCCTTCTTCTTGCTTCTTCCTTATGATCGATGGCATTATTATCCTGTCTCATCCCTTTACAAAATTGGTCCTTTGAAATTATATAATCTATATGGATTGTTTGCTTACAATATCGATTCAGGCATTAAAATTCTAAAAAAAGGAGTACAATTCTGCAAAATGAGTTGTTCCCCATCATCAACTGTGTTTTTGCAATCATGTCGTACCCAAAAAGTAGCAAACCAGAGATGTATTCTTTAGACGAAGTAGTATTTTCCCAACATTTCCTCAAACAAATTCCTCTAGAAAATCCATCGATTTCCGATCCCTAAAATCCAAATTCGACCTCATCTTGGGGTTAAAACTTGGGGCCAAGCCCCTCTCCCATTTCTTAGAGTCTTAGAGGTTCTTCGGCCGGGGATGCTTTTGGTGGAAAAGCTGCCGCCTTGCGTGAAAGGCTTATGGTGGAGACTTGGAAGTAAGCGTAAAAAAGTGTTTAGCAGCATGAAAGCTGCTGGGTACTTAAAGGTATTTGAATATTTTTAAGTTTTTAATGTTGGTTGCTTGAATTGAAAGAAAGAAGAAAAGAGAAATATAGAAGAAGAAGACGAAGAAGAAGAAGAAGAAACAATCCTTTTTTTAGAGCTATGCTACTTGTATTCATTTTCTACAAGAACATCCAATCCTGGGTAATTGCATTTTTTGGCTTACGCCAGGTTGTTGGCCCAAAGTTGATGTCTCACAAAATGCAAATGATCCATTGCATTTATATAAACATATTCATATGCATGTATGCATGTATGCATGCACAGTATGTATGTATGTATGCACATGCATGTATGCATGTACATGTATGTATGTATGTATGTATGTATGTATGTATGTATGTATGTATGTATGTATGTAATGTATGTATGTAATGTATGTAATGTAATGTAATGTAATGTAATGTAATGTAATGTAATGTAATGTAATGTAATGTATGTATGTATGTATGTATATATGTATATATGTATGTAATGTATGTATGTATGTATGTATGTATGTATGTATGTACTGTATGTATGCATGTATGCATGCACAGTATGTATGTATGTATGTATGTATGTATGTATGCATGTACAGTATGTATGTATGTATGTATGTATGTATGTATGTATGTATGTAATGTATGTAATGTATGTATGTAATGAAATGTATGAAATGTATGTAATGTATGTAATGTATGTATGTATGTATGTATGTATGTGTGTATGTATGTATGTATGTATGGATGGATGGATGGATGTATGTATGTATGTATGTATGTACTGTATGTATGCATGTATGCATGCACAGTATGTATGTATGTATGTATGTAATGTATGTATGTAATGTATGTAATGTATGTAATGTATGTAATGTATGTAATGTATGTAATGTATGTAATGTATGTAATGTATGTATGTAATGTATGTATGTTATGTATGTATGTTATGTATGTATGTTATGTATGTATGTTATGTATGTATGTTATGTATGTATGTTATGTATGTATGTATGTATGTATGTATGTATGTATGTATGTATGTATGTATGTATGTATGTATGTATGTATGTATGTATGTATGATGTATGCAATGTATGAATGTATGTAATGTATGTAATGTATGTAATGTATGTAATGTATGTAATGTATGTAATGTATGTAATGTATGTAATGTATGTAATGTATGTATGTATGTATGTATGTATGTAATGTATGTAATGTATGTAATGTATGTAATGTATGTAATGATGTAATGTATGTAATGTATGTAATGTATGTAGTGTATGTAATGTATGTATGTATGTATGTAATGTAATGTAGTGTAGTGTAGTGTAATGTAATGTAATGTAATGGTATGTATGTATGTAATGCATGTAATATTTGTACTGTATGTAATGTATGTAATGTATGTTAATGTAGTATGTCTGTAAGGTTGTAACCGTATGTACTGTATGATAGGTATGGAACGGGGTAACGTATGGAATGTCTGTCAGTATGTTAATGTATGTAATGTATGTTAATTATGTAATGTATGTAAGTATTGTAATGTATGGTATGTATGTATGTATGTTACTGCATGTAATGTATGTAATGAGAGAATGGTTAGGTAATGGAGGTAATGTATGGGATAAGGGCAGTAATGTATGGTAATGTATGTAATGTAGGATGTATGTATGATGTAATGTATGTATGTCATGTATGAATGTTTTTTTTTTTTAAATTAGATGTTAATGGCCATGTACGTAATTGTAATGTATGTATGTAATGTAATGTAAGGTAGTATGTAATTTAATGTAATGTTATGTAAGTAAGACTGTAATGTAATGTCATGTTGTAATGTAATGTAGGTAAGTATGTAATGTAATGCAATGCAAGCAATGCAATTGCAATGCAATGTAATGTTACGGTAATGTATGTAATGTATGTATGTTGTAGGCAATGCATGTATGCATGTACAGTATGTATGTATGTATGCATGTATGCATGCACAGTATGTATGTATGTATGTATGTATGCACAGTATGTATGTATGTATGTATGTATGTGTGTATGTATGTATGCACATGCATGTATGCATGTACAGTATGACAGTATGACAGTATGTATGTATGTATGTATGTATGTGTGTATGTATGTATGTATGCATGTATGCATGCACAGTATGTATGTATGTATGCACATGCATGTATGCATGTACAGTATGTATGTATGTATGTCTGTATGTATGTATGTATGTATGTATGTATGCACTGTATGTATGTATGCATGCATGTATGCATGCACAGTATGTATGTATGTATGTATGCACATGCATGTATGCATGTACTGTATGTATGTATGTATGTATGCATGCATGCATGCATGCATGCATGCATGTATGTATGTATGTATGTATGCACATGCATGTATGCATGTACAGTATGACAGTATGACAGTATGTATGTATGCATGTATGTATGTATGTATGTACGTATGCATGTATGCATGTATGCATGTATGCATGTATGCATGTATGCATGTATGCATGTATGCATGTATGCATGTATGCATGTATGCATGTATGCATGTATGCATGTACAGTATGTATTACAGTATGTATGTATGTATGTATGTATGTGTGTATGTATGTATGTATGTATGTATGTATGTATGTATGTATGTATGTATGTATGTATATATGCATGTATGTATGGATGTATGGATGTATGGATGTATGGATGTATGTATGTATGTATGTATGCATATATGCATGTATGTATGTATGTATGGATAGATGGATGGATGGATGGATGCATGTACTGTAGCCATTTTGGCTCAAGGTATAACACTTTGTTGGTCACTGACCAAAGCTCTCTCCGATTTCAAAGCTTTGTTCTGCAGCAACGACGAAGATGGAGAAGGATCAGGCTCACGCTGTTGATCTGGCGATGGAGTTCCACAAGAATATGCAGAACAGGATGCTTCCGTCTGAAGCCATGGAGGGCTTTAGCCCACGCAGGGGAAGCTATGGAAGCGCCGTCAACAGCGAGGCAAGTGTGGAAGACACTGGAAAGGCGGATGCAGTGCCGTTTTCTGAGGGTCCAGCGGCTGAAGCAGAGTCATCTGCAGCACAGGCAGCAGCTGAGATCCCTGGTGCTGGACAGTTTCCGCCACAGTATCAGACCTTGCCGGAAGACCTTCTGCGTGAGATCGACGATTCAGGCCCTGACAAGGAGGAATGCACGCCCTTTAAAGAGGCACGCTGGGATCGCATGTCAGCGAACCCAGGACTCTTTGCAAGCCCTGAGCAAGGCATTGGAGCTGCAGCCAGACAGTGGACGAGTTCATCTCGCCTCCACCTGCACGCGCCCCACTTCGCGGGTTCGGGCTGATTATCCCCACGGAATATCAGGTACCATTCTCAGGGCAGGAGGTGCGTGGGAAGCCCAAGAAGAATAAGCAGACGCAGGTCGATGAAGGTTTTTCTGTGCAGTTGGTGGAGGTGTCGCGGAGCATGCGTGGCAGCGCTGTCACATCGATCGAGTCCTCAGCTGGGGCACAATGCTACGCTGAGGTTGTGAAGGAACTGAAGGAGCTGAAGGAGCGTATGGACGGCAATGAGCGCTACTGCATGGGCGCGATTGCTGAGATGGGAGAAAAGATGGAGTCCCTGGCCGGCCAGGTGGCAGAGTGCATGAACCTCATGCAGCATCACCACATCAAGATGTCCAGTATCATCCAGAATCGCCAGAGCGAGTCACGCCCACCTGCCAATCTTCCGTTGACTCGCCTCCCCCCGTCGTGCGCAACAAGCTGATCTACCTGTTTGATCCCACCTTCAAAGTCCTGATGCATCCAGCTGTTGAGAGCTGGTCTGTCAAGCTGCCGAAGAAGCAGATGAAGTGCCTGAAGGACATGAGCGCCCATGACCGGAAGGCCATGGTCAAGGCAATTCACAAGGCATGGGCTGATGGGGAAGCTAGGACCAACCCCAAGCAGTTCCTGAAGATTGTGATGGAGCGTGAGTTTGGCGATGAGACATGCGAACCGGAGTATCAGGCACCTAAAGAGGAGGGCTACGGAGATTTTTATTAGGTCACTGGCCAACAGTGGCTCCAGGATGATAGTAATTTTTCAGCCACAGGAATGACCGTTTGAATGCCATGGTTAGCGAGACTATGTTTGCCCTTAATGATTAATCCTGGTGCCGGCCTTTGCAACTCATCCCTATGGATTGGCGGATTGTTCAATACAACCCTTTATCACTGTTGCCTTCTGGGCGCTTGCATCACATTCTGCAAGAGGTTGGTCTTCAACATTTTGTTGGCATTGCGGGCACTGGAGGAAAAGCTTCGTCACATGATCCGCCATATACTTCTTACAAATGTGGTAAGTATTTGGTTTTTGATTTTCCTGTCAGACCTGGATCCATTTATCCTCACAAGCTATCCAGTGGTTAGGAGGGAGCTAAGGAGCTATGGGTATTCATATTCCCTATTGAATGGGGAGCTAAGGAGCTACCACGAGTTTCCCAACCACATACTAGCAAGTGTGCTGGCGTCATCATTGCAATCAGCACTCAGGCTTTCACAAATAGAAATGTTGTCCGTGTGGTGGAAGTCCCGGCTGAATTTTCTGGTCGCGTGGACTCTGTCAGAGTACGGCGGAGTGATGTGGATTTTTTCTTCTTGTCAGTATATGTTCCCGCTGAGCCACGGACAATGCAAGAGCGACAGCGGGTTGGTAAGCTGTGGGCTTACATTGGTCGCTTCTTGGACGCTGTGCCGGCATGGTGCGTGCCTATCCTATGTTTGGATGCCAAGGGCCGTGTGGGCAGCCATGCGTCTGCTGCTGTTGGCCATGCTGACTGCCAACGCGAAAACTGGAATGGGCAGCAGCTGCGGGAATTTTGCGAACGTCATCATTTATGTTTGGTCAATAAATTTTTCAATGTTGGTCCTACCTATAGAGATGAATTTTATACATTGCTATACCATCATCATTGCTCCCTTCTGTCAAGTCATGTGCTGTTTTTCATGGTTCCGGGCAACGGCTGCAAAAGATTGCTACCCCTGGCTGGAGAGACCATCGGCCCCTACATCGTGCTTTTGCCCACAAGTTGTGCTACCAACAGTCTGCAGGGCCAGATTTTCACGGTTGGAATTCCGACTTGCTGGTCCGTGGTGTTTTGGACTGCTATGGCAGGGAAACGCTTCTTCACAATGTTCAGACAGCCCTCCAGGCACAGTCTTTGGAATAATTGGCTGATGGCCCGCCTGGCCCATACTGGCGACACCTCACTGCCGTGGTGCGAGATGAAGCTACAAAAGTGTTTGGGAAAAAAGCTGGTTTCTCGGCCAACCGGCCTCTGGACACGCAGCAAGCATTTGATGACCGGGCTCTTGCAATGGAACAACTTGTGCAGATTTCACCTACTGTATGCGGTTGCAATGCGATTTTTCACATCTCCACGATCTACATCGGGTTTTAAAAGCT